GCACACACAGCCCGACGCTTTCCACCGCGCGCCCAAGCCGGTCGAGGGCCCGGCCTTTCCACCGGAGCAGGTCACTTAAGCCCCCGCGCCGCCGTCCCTGCCCGTCGCGACCTCGCATGAAACCTCCGAGGCTCCGCCTGGGCACTCGGTCTGCTGGGCCCTCCCACGCCTCCCTGCGAGCCCGCCCACTCGGCTGGCTCTTGCACCGTCCGCAGTCGGCCCCAGCGGCTCCCGCCCGCCCGCGCAGCCCGCCCTGGAGAGAAAGCGCGCAGAAGGGGCTGCTCACCTGGGCGTAGCGGGTCCGCCGGGAGGGGCGGGGCCAGACGGAACGGGCGGGGTCGGGCGGCACCCGAGCCAGGCGCTCCCTCCCGCTTCACTGCCTCAAAGGCCGCGGGGGCCGGAAACGGCAGCGCGGTCGCCTGGCACTTCCGGGGCTGCTCTAGGACCGCGGAGGACTCACGCCGTCGGTGGTCGGGTGGGGTGAGGGGCGCCGGAGAGGGGCCCTGTGGGCTGGCGGACCGGCAGGACAGGCTGGACCCCGCGTATCGAGCCCACTCTCCGCTCCAGGCCCGGGCCAACCCTGTACAACCTTTTATTTTTTTTTCTTGACAAGAAAAGAATCTGTTTGCATTTCCCAATCTGTGTGGAAGGGGAAACACTCGGGCCCGCGGATCACAGAGGACCGGGTCCTCCCGGTGCCCTAGAGCTTCCCGGAAGTATTTTTGGGTCGCTTCCGGCCGCCCCGCCGCTTTTTGTTCGGGCTGTTCGGCTTCAGACCGCGCGAGTGCCAGGTGGGGGGCCGCTCGGGCCTGTGGGTGCGGTGGGTTGGGTCGCCCCTACGGGGAGGGGCTGCTGAGCGGCACGCGGTCCCTTGGTCGCCGCGGCCGGGTAACTCTGGAGGCCGGAGGCCTGTCCGCGACAGTGGCGCGCCGGCCCGCCGATTCGATGCAGCTTAGGGCGCGGCCGCAGAACGCTGCCCGCGGCTCGTGCCCACGTCAGGTGTCCAGGATGCCACGGCGAGCTCAGGGCATGACTCGAACCGGTCTCATATCTGTCACTCCTTCCCCCGCACCGGTGGCTGCTCTCTTCCCCTCCCTGCCGTCTCTCTTGCTGACTCCTGCCTCCCCTCTTCCTGAGACCATCTGATCCCAGGGTGCTTCCCATCACATGGGCTGTCAGTCGTAGTTCCCACTGTCACTGTCTTGAAGGTGGAAATCGGGTCAGTCTTCAGTCACTGACTCAAAGGACGTGGGAAGTCACTAGGCTTCTCTCCACCCCCTCCAGGCAGGTGCAGCTGGGACCTGCCTCTGAGGTGATTGATCAGAGAGGAGGAAGCCGCAATGTCCGCCGTGGGAGCTGTAGCTCCATACTTGCATCACCCTGGTGTCAGTCACAGCGGCCAGGTGAGTTTCCTGGGGGCCCAGCTCCCCCCAGAGGTGGCAGCAATGCCCCGGCTCCTGGGGGACTTGGACAGGGGCACGTTCAGAAAACTGTTGAAACTGGTGGTCAGTGGCCTGCAGGGAGAGGACTGCCGTGAAGCTGTGCAGCGCCTTGGGACTACTGCACACCTGTCGGAGGAGCGGCTGGGTGCCCTGCTTGCTGGCACCCACACGCTGCTCCAGCAGGCCCTCCGGCTGCCCCCAGCCAGCCTGAAGCCCGACGCCTTCAAGGACCAGCTCCAGGAACTCTGCATCCCCCAAGACCTGGTCGTGGACTTGGCCAGTGTGGTGTTTGGGAGCCAGCGGCCTCTCCTTGACTCTGTGGCCAGGCAGCAGGGGGCCTGGCTGCCCCACATTGCCAACTGTCGGTGGAGGGTGGATGTGGCAATCTCCACCAGTGCCCTGGCCCGCTCCCTGCAGCCAAGTGTCCTGATGCAGCTGACACTTTCGGATGGGTCAGCACACCGCTTTGAGGTCCCCACAGCCAAATTCCAGGAGCTTCGGTACAGCGTGGCCCTGGTGTTGAAGGAGATGGCTGACCTGGAGAAGAAGTGCGAGCACAAACTGCAGGACTGACCTGCACTCCCAGTTGCTCTGTTGACTTGGGGACAGTTGCTCAGACATCTCCAAAAGGAAGCCCATCCTGCCTAGGAGGCACTCTTCAGTGAGAATGTGAATGCAACCATGTCACTCTCTGTTTGATTAAAAGAAGTCAGCACTGTTTTTCCTTTATTTGGGAGTAAAGCAACAATTAAAAATATGTCTTCCTGGGTGGTGTCACCCTGCACACAACTCCCCTGGCTGTTGGTGGCATTGCTGGGTGCGGGTACTTGCTGCTCCAGGGTGGCCAACTGGTCCAATCAGTCTAGGGCCCAGTTCAAAGTCTTTATGCAGATGCCAAGTTTGTTCAGCTGGGCCCCAGGTAGCATCTGAGTGTTCTGCTCATTTGTTTCTATGAACCATGTGTTTCAGAGTGGATATTTCATTCTCGTCTTAAATCCCTGATCTCAAGGAGCCAGCATTGTAGTGTGGAAAGGAAGACTTTACAGAGTACATAACAAATGACTGGTGTAGCTTGTTATTGGAAATAGTAAATGATAAAATAGGCCAGTGTCCAGGGAATGGGAAGCAGGGCTATGGGAGAATTGGGTTGTCATTTTACATTGGGTCATTAGAAGAGTTGGTATGTGAGCAAAGACTTGCAAGAGGTGAGGGAGCAGTGACCCAAGGGAGACTTCTGGGTAGAAGGGGAGTGAAGTAGAGGGGAGTGAGGGTACCAAGGGCATGCCCTACCCTAACAGCTGTTTAAGAAGGATCATACTGGATGTTGTATTGAGGCCAGGAAGGAACAGGGGCCTTTCCCAGCACCTCCAGGGTGGGTGTGCTGGTCAGCTTGGGCTGGTGGTCCCAGAGGACACACATTTAGGGCTGAAAGCCACTGAGACCTGGGAGTTTCTGGTGTGCAAGATTACCACAGTGACATTTGTCCAGTGCAATCAGGAATGGAGACCTTGGGTCTGAGCCCAGTCCATCAGGGTGCTAGAAGCTCCACCGCCACTGTGGGACCTTGTGGCTGAGACTCCATGGCTCAAAATTATGCACCTGGTAGCAGTGAGGAAATGGGCCTTCCAGGCCACCCTTGTGTTACTGACCCCGGGGGTGGAAATGGGCCTGTTACTCAGAACCTACCTCAAGCCTCTCAGCAGCCCCTGCAGCAGGGGGTGGGCAGTCACTTGGAGCTGCAGCATCAAATAGCAGGTAACCCAGCCGTGGGCAAACTACGGCCCGCTTGAAATGAATAAAACTTAAAAAAAAAAAAGACCGTACCCTTTTATGTAATGATGTTTACTTTGAATTTATATTAGTTCACACAAACACTCCATCCATGCTTTTGTTCCAGCCCTCCGGTCCAGTTTAAGAACCCATTGTGGCCCTCGAGTCAAAAAGTTTGCCCACCCCTGAGGTAACCCCTGGGATTTTCACACCATTTTTCTGCCCGCCAGGCCACAGAGAACGCTGGTGCACCCAGCTGGAGTTTACTGGCTATCTCCAAGGCTGTGTTACTGTGTCTACTCTGGTGTTCCACTCTGAGGGCCACTAGAGGGTCAGCAGACTGGGGAAGGGGGATTTCTGAGGCACAGCTTTTGGTCCCGTGCCATGTTCCCACTTTCACCCTCACCCCAGGTAAGTGGGGGCACCCACCAGCCTCCCCTCCCCCCACCAGAAGATGATCTGTGCCTTTTGTCATCCAGTTAGGACCAGGTGGTTGAGGTGTTCTCCATCCTACCCTGCCAGGTAGCTCAATTGGTTAGAGCATAGTTTCAATATACCAAGGTTTCAGGTTTGATCCCATCAGGGCACATATAAGAATCAACCAATGAATCCATTAAAAAGCTGAACAAATCAGTGTTTCTCCCTCCCTCCCTCTCTCTCAAGTCAATTTTTTTAAAAACCATTCTTCAGAATCATACAAAATGAGGTGGTAGGTGGGTGTCAGCTCTAACTGCTACAGCTCCCTTGTCCCAGCTCTCGTCAGGCTGAAGTGGGCAGCCACAGGATTCACTCAGGCTGCAAAGGGACCATCTACCCTTGTTTGTGGTTGATCACCATAGACCTGGACATGAGGGCAGGGGCTGGCTTTTCCCACCTTTGTTCAGGTCTGCACAGGGAATGATGCACCTGGAAAATTACCTTTCAGCTCTGTCAACCGTACTTAGATCCTGTGGAAGCTCTTGGTAGCTGTTCCTCTTCTGTGGGCCTCTGACTTTTCAACTTCAAAGCTTGGATACTCCTCAAATTCATCATTCATTCCTTCAACAAACATTTCCTGGGCTGTGAGTGTAAGTCACACACACTGGGGATACAGGTGCACAAACTCACTGGGTTCTGCCTTGCGGCAAACACTTTGGGAAGTTTCCACAAACCTCAAAATAGTTACAATCCAACATCATAAATCAAATTTCAATCTATAATTGAGAATAAAAGCAACCAGCTTAAAATTATGGGTTTAATTTATTGACTCAAAAAGAGAAGTCCAAAGTATTTTAAAACCTGTTGTTGCCGAAACCGGTTTGGCTCAGTGGATAGAGCGTCGGCCTGCGGACTGAAAGGTCCCAGGTTCAATTCCGGTCAAGGGCATATACCTGGGTTGCGGGCACATCCCCAGTAGGGAGTGTGCAGGAGGCAGCTGGTCGATGTTTCTCTCTCATCGATGTTTCTAACTCTCTATCTCTCTCCCTTCCTCTCTTTAAAAAATCAATAAAATATATTTAAAAAAAAAAAAATAAAATAAAACCTATTGTTAAACAGTGCTGAAAATCCTTAAAATGAGTTCATATTTACTGAAGCCCAAATTGGGGAATATAGCAGGAAAGTAGAGCCAGGCTGGCGGGGCTCAGTGGTTGAGCATCAACCCATGAACCAGGAGGTCAGGGTTTGATTGCCAGTCAGGGCACATGCCTGGGTTGGGCTCAATCCCCAGTGTGGCGTGTGCAGGAGGCAGCCAATTGATGATTCTCTCTTATCATTGATACTTCTATCTCTCCCTCTCTCAAATCCATAAAAATATGTATTTTTTTTTTAAAAAAAGGTCAGAATATTTCAAAACGCGTGGTCTGCTTGGTAGGCATTCAAAACACCCAGTCTTATGGCCTCAGTGTTTAATGCACCAGCACCACACAATAGCAGGCCTCGGGCTGGGTTCACCAGCCCTTGATCCAGGACCATGGCTGTGCACACTCAAATGCTAAAGGAGATTTAAGGTAGAAGTCTCTGGCCTGCAGTTACTGTGAGGGGAAAGAAAGCATCATGTCCAGGCTGGAGTCTGGAGAAGTCCATATAATCCTCCATCCTTTTGTCCCTCATTACCCAGGAGTAGACAAGGGAGGTGGGGTCCAATGAAGAGGCCCTTCGGTGCACAACAGTACCAGGTGCCAGCAGATGGCAGGAGTGTGCTCTCTCCACTCGGGACCTCGACTCCAGAGCCGTTGCTGGGCGGCCTAAAATATTTACAGCCCTTTAAACTTGGGCCCACCCATCCAGATGTGCCAGCAGTGACCACCTGGGTGAGCACAGCAGCTGAGGAGGAGACACAACGAGCATGACCTCTGCATAATGCACACAAGTCCCTGGTCCTCTGACCATTCGACTCAAGTTCTGGGTAGAGCAGGGATGCCTGGAGAGATAGGCCCACTGATTTCATGGCATCCTGGCACCAGGTGAAGGACATGTCAGGCAGTGAGTGATGGATAAGCAGTAGCAGTTGGTGATCAGGCTGACTGGCTCCACCCATGTGCTGGAAACACAAGCTCACATAAACTTTACCACCTCAAACTCCACTGCTCCCAACAACAGCAGAAAGCTCAGGAACCTCCTAATGCAGACATGGGGATCGGCAAGCATTTTCTTCACCTGACTCAAATCCATAGCCTGCTACAGGCTATGCCATGCACGGCAATAGAAGCAGCAAGGTCTCAAGGACCTGCGGTGGGCTTGACCAAACCAGTGTGATGGTGACCCAAATCAAGTGTCACAACAAATCCTGAAGTGACTGACCTGGGTCCCTCTGGGATACCAGTCCTTCCTCCACTGGGATGAAGGTCTCTCAAATATTGCCCCTCTGATTGTAGCAATGGTACCAAAGGTCAGCAGGTCTCGAGTGGACTCCTGGCCCCTGGACTCCTTCCCAAATGGTGAATACAGGACACTGGACAGGGAGGGGGTCAATGCGGCAGGTCTGTCTCATCCAGTGGCCTCCATGGCATTAATTAACTGCTCTGTGAGACAAAGTGAATGAACATGGGCCCAGCCTGTAGGTCAGATTAATCAGAGTGGCTTGGCCCATGTGGAAACTCAAGTTGACCCTGGGTGGCTGCTTGCCTGGGCTGCTGATGGGGGAAGAGGTTTGAAGAAAAGGAGTCAGGTGAAGGCAAAAGGGAATTCCTGACACTCCTCTTCTGGACTTCAGCGCATGCAAGCTCACACATCCTTGCAGAAGCCAGTCTGAGTAACTGGTGCTGAAGACACTGAGTATCTCATCTTGCAGAGCTCACAGGACTTCTCAGGCCTCAGCTGCAGAACCTGGGTTCATCCCTCTCACACTCAGAACTCTACATGACTCCCCTAATGCAAGGGACACAGGGTTATGGAGTGGGATAAAATCAGAATTCCAGAAAAAAACACATTTTGTATGAACTTGGATATTTTTAAAAGAGCAATTCTGAATCTTTACTAACATTCTACCTTGTTAGTATTAATTACCCCATATAATTTAAATAGGTTAAGGCTGTGGGTTTATTCCCACTTACATTTAAAGAGGTGAGTGGTCTATCCTATATGAATCTTCTGATGCTGAGTGAGCCTTGAGCTCCGATTAAAGGCTTTGCCACATTCGTTACATTTATAAGGTTTCTCTCCAGTGTGAATCCTCTGATGTATAATGAGATGGGAGCGCCATCTGAATATTTTCTCACATTCATTACATTTGTGTAGTTTCTTTACAGTGTTAACTTTTTTACGGCTCACATGGGTAGAACCCTCCAGGGTGCCCCCATATTCGTGGTACCACTGGGCACGTGTGTGAATCCTCTGGTGCTCAATGAGGTACGAACTTCGACTAAAGGCTTTCCCACACTCACTGCATCCATAGGGCTTTACTCCAGCATGAATTATCTGGTGTTGGAAAAGGGTTGAGTTCTGACTGAAGGCTTTCCCGCACTCACCACATTTATAGGGCCTCTCCCCGGTGTGAACCCTCTGATGAATTGTGAGCTGTGTGCTCATACTGAAGGCTTTTCCACATTCCAGGCACTCGTAGGGTTTCTCTCCCTTGTGAATCCTCTGATGGTAAATGAGGCTTGAGCTCTGGCTGAAGGCTTTTCCACAATCACTACACTCATAGGGTTTCTCTCCGGTGTGAATTCTCTGGTGCTGAATCAGGTGTGAGCCCTGGACAAAGCCCTTCCCACACTCATCACATTTGAATGGTTTTTCTCCAGTGTGAGTTCTTTGGTGGCGAATAAGCCGTGAGCTACAACCGAAGGCTTTTGCACACTTGTTGCATTTATACGGTTTCTCTCCAGTGTGAATCAGCTGGTGCTGACTAAGGCGAGAGACCCACCTGAAAGCCTTCCCACACTCATCACACTTAAACGGTTTCTCTGCAGCGTGGATTCTCTGGTGTGCAACGAGGCTGGCACCATCCAGGGTTCTTGGAACTGGAGGCTTCTCCCCAGTGTGCATCAGCTGGTGCTGAGCCAGGGTTGAGCTCTGGCTGAAGGCCTTCCCACACTCCTGGCACGAGTAGGGCCTCTCTCCAGTGTGAGTCCTCTGGTGTCTGACCAGCTGAGACTGCTGGCTGAAGGCCTTCCCACACTCACGACAGCAATAGGGCCTCTCTCCTGTGTGCACCCTCTGATGGTGGATGAGGCTGGAGCTCTGACCAAAGGCTTTCCCACACTCCTCACACCTGTATGGTTTCTCTCCCGTATGAATTCTTTGATGCTGAATAAGTTTTGAGCTCAGGCGAAAGGCTTTTCCACACTCTATGCATTTGAATGGTTTCTCTCCAGTGTGGATTCTCTGATGCTGATTAAGCTGCGAGCACAACCTGAAGACTTTCCCACATTCCTCACACTCATACGGCTTCTCTCCGTGGCAGTTACTTTGATGTTTCCCCTGTAAGCAATCAGATAACTTTTTTTGGCACTCCTGACATCTGTTAAGTTCCTTCTGTACACCAAAGTGAGGCAGAGCCACGAATCTGAAACTCCTGCCACACACATCGCATCTTCGAGATGGCCCATCTGCAGCAACCCCCTGACTTTTCTCAGGTTGACAACCCAGGTTGACATGTCCCTGCACATCCTCCTTGGCAGAGGTCTTCCTGGGAGCCACAGTCCCTGTGTGCAAGTGGTGTTTCTGAAAGAGAGAGCTTAGCTTACTCTCTGGCCAGACCTCAGAATCAGAGGTGTCTCCGAAGCCAGGACTCTGAGGATAATCCCAAGGGGGGGGTTTGACCATCGCTGCCATAGACTCTGATTTTAGCATGTGCACATCTTCACCAGCCTGCTCACCATCAGTGCTTATCGTAGAATCTGAAACATACAGGCAGGATAAGGCTCCTTCTCCTGAGCTCACAGAAAGGACAGAGGCTGAGGTGGGGATCATCACTAGGAACTGAGCTCCCTCCTAGGACACCTGACATGCAAAGACACTATCAAAACTTGACACCTTTGACAGTTCTCAAAATTTGGTTTCATTCATACTTTTTGCTTTACACATTCATTTAACCACAGTACACGCGGCTGAGCACTAAGAGCCACTTCCCACAGGGGGCCACATCAGTAGAGGTTCATTCTGTGGGGAACTGGTGTTAGGAAAAGTCCACGAAGAATGTGAGCCCTAGATGGTTTGGCTCAGTGGATAGAGCGTCAGCCCGAGATTCGGGTCAAGGGCATGTATCTCAGTTACAGGCTTGATCCCCAGCCCCAGCTGGGGTGCATACAGGAGGCAACCAATCGATGTTTCTCTCTCACATCAATGTTTCTGTCTTTCTTTCCCCGCTTCCACTCTCTCTAAAAAATCAATTGAAAAACTATCCTCAAGTGAGGATTAACAACAAAAAAAGAAAGTGAGCCTGATAGAGTGGGGGGGGTTAGGGAGAGGCAGAATTAGGCTGAGAGGTCAGAGAGGTGGTGAGGAAGAAAGAAGAATTTTAAACTTAAAACAGAGGGATGGGCAGGTGCTGAGAAAGATGAAGCAGGAAAGCTATTGAAAGGTGTACAGGGGTGAGGCCGAAGGCCTGGGCATTGGCCTGTCCCCTGGTTGGGCTTCTGAGTGTGACCCAAGGCCAGAAATCTGCTTGCTCCAGGCCACTCTCCCCAACTCACATCTGACCATGTCCCTTGCCAGTCTGCCCCTCACCTTCTCCATACGGATTTCTCCTTCCTGTGCATTTCTGGGGGGTCCACCTACTCCACCAGCCCCCACAAGCCTTCCTGACATGCACTTACCCCACATAAGCTTCAACCTCCTTCCTACTCTGCAATCCCAGGAAGTGTTTTTGCTTAAGTCAGACCCTGTCATCCCTAATCACCTCCAGGGCCATCACCAGCCTAGGGCTGTCCCACAGTGAAAACGAGGACCCAGTGACGGCTTCGCTGGCTCCTCACATCAGTGCTCCAGCGATGGAGACCCATCTCTATGTCAGTCCTGGAGTATGGAAGGGGCTGTATGCAAGCTAGTGAGGTCAGTAGTGGATAAGGGGTGTGTGGCTCACAGAGGTTAAGTAGTTCACCCATAGTCACACAGCTAGTGAGAGACTAAGGAACGAACCCAGGTCTGTTTCCCCAAACACACACCCTTTCAACATCTCTGTGCCCTTAGGATGTGGGACATCTCCTGCCTGGTCCTCACTGTTTATCGTTTCTGCACAAACAACCTTGGCAAACCTGCTCTACTAACAGGGCAGGAGCAGCCATAGAGATGAGAAAACAGACAAGTATTGCTCTCCTCTGCATGCTGCTTCAAGGCAGAGGAGCCTATGAATAGCCATGAAAGAGCAGTTAAGGATGCCAGCACTGCCTGGGCCTCCTGCAGCTGGATGAGGACAGTGCAAACCCACCTGGCTGCCTCGGAGTCCACCTCCCTCTCTCCTGTAGCCAAGTCGGCAAGCAGCAGTTAGTTACATTACAAAGGTCTTGCCTCCCTACATGCCACATCCTCAGCAACAGTCTCCTACATACAGCCAGCAGGCTCCTGTGTGGCTCAGCATGCACATGTTCCTTCCCTTCAGGGTCACAAGACACCTGAACAGTACAGCCCACCTCTTCCTGTCCCCACTTACTAATGACTACTCCTTTGACCAAGACCCTCTCCTTACTAGCCCAGCCAGGCTCCTCTGAGCCTTGCTGAACCAGGCCTCCCCCTTGGTATGTAGGAACAAAACACTAGCATGGCTTCTAACAGCTCAAAGCTGCATCCCTAGAATGACACCAACCCCCTTCAAGCATCTGCCTAAGAAAACTGGAGGATGCTTGTCCCAGCCAACTCCCAGGAGCAAAGCCCGTCAGCAAGCCCAGGTGGTGTCACATGGACCTGCCTTTTCCTCTGTGATCCGTCACACCCCGTGCCTGGCTCTGACACCTCTGAGCAAGTGGAAGCTGAATAAGCTCTCGGTGAACTCTGACCTACTGCAGTTGTCACTCAGACTAAATTCTGTACTCACCACTGCAACTATGACACTGACCATGAAGTCCCCAGGGGGCCTTCAGTCCTGAGACTGGGCTGGCTGTGATGGTGGCAGCTGCAAGCCCTGCCCTCTCCCATGACCAGGAGGATCCTGGAATATTAGCTGTACCAACCAACAATATCGCATCTTGTGGATGTTCTAACATGCTCCACAAATTTTCATTCATGAGGCTGTCCTCTGCCCTGTACACCCAGGTCTGGGAGCAGCTCTAAGTCTCATCACAGGGAAGTCTTCTTGATGCCTAACCACTAGGAAGGTCATCTCCATACGTGAACCTCTTACTAAGGAGCTCTGGCTCTCCTGCCATGGTGCCAGCCTGGCCTGTGTGGCTCAATGGTTAAGTGTTGACCTATGAACCAGGAGGTCATGGTTCGATTCCCAGTCAGAGTACATACCCGGGTTGCAGGCTCAACCCCCAGTGTGGGGCCTACAGGAGGCAGCCAATCAATGATTCTTTCTCACCACTGATGTTTCTATCCCTTTCTCCCTTCCTCTATCTGAAATCAATAAAAACATGTATTTTAAAAAAAAAATCTCTCTCCACCTTGGAAATGTTTCATGGGGGCTGGGTTTTAACTGGGCCAATCTGTCCCTTTACACCCAGCATGTCAAACTTGCTTTAAACCTTCCCAAAAAGGGTCAGAAAGGGGTCTGGACATGAAGGTCCTTGTTATGAGCTGATTGTGCCCCCAAAAAGTGTGCTAAAGCTCTCGCCCAGAACCTAAGAATACGAACTTATTTACAAACAGGACCCTAGAGCTGGAGTTAGTTAAGATGAGATCACACTGAAGTATGGAGGCCCTAATCTAATATGACTGATATCCTTGGAAAGACAGACACAGGAAGAATGCGCTGTGACGTGGAGGACTGGGTGACGCAGCCATAAGCAGAGGAACACCTGGGGCCACCAGAAGCTGGAAGGATCCTCCCCTACAGACTTCAGAGGGGTCACAACCCCGCCAATGCCTTGATTTTGGACCTCTGGCCCCAAGACTGTGAGATACGAATCTATCAGTTCAAGCCTCCAGTCTCTGGTGGTTTGTTATGGCAGCCCGGAGCCTCACTGAGAGGCTAGGGTCATCCGGGACCCCCAGAAGTTCTGGAGGGAGCACAACAGTACCAGTGACATGATGTTCACCCGAGAAGCTGCTCAGAACCAAGATTACTCCTTCTCTTGCATCCATGCTTGTATCTCAATAAGAGTATTGGTAAGATGAGAGACTTAATAAAAACAAACTCGCATGGTGATCCTAGGGTCCGCCTTCCCGGGCACAAAACCGAGCCTCACCTGTCTGGAGGGTCCTTCGTGCCTCTCTCGCCTCTGTTCCCTGCAGGTCAAGGACCCATGGCTCCTGCCCTTGCTCCAGCCGGGAGATCAGTTCAGGCTTGAAGAGCAGAAATCCTGCTGTCAAGGTGACAAAGGAAACCACATTGGTGCTGCTGGGAATGCAGCTCAGGGCTCAGTGCCCCCTGGTTTCCAAAAGTAAAGGGGTGGGAGGCTGCTGGGCTACAGGCAGAGTCTCTGAGGGAGCATCATAGGGTTAGGATCCGGGCACAGGGGCCCTCTCTGTCTGGTTCAGCCCAGCTCCTGAGGCTAGACGGCAAGGGATGCCTGGACTCCCAGCCCATTCCCTTTGCTTCAAGGCCAAGATCCCCAGCGGGCGCTGTCACCCAAGAGTTTGCCAAGAAGCGGCCACTGTACTTCAAGAAGAGAAAAGCTAGGCACTACCAGCAAGCCCCTCAGTTCAGAGGGCAGGTGTGTGCTCCAAGAGGTAGGGGTGATTAAGGAACAAGACAGGAGCATTTGAGATCTTGCTTCTCAGCATAGGTTATCAGTTTGGGTCAAAGAAACTCTTATTAAAAAAACAAACGAACAAAAAAACCCGCCCTGGCTGAGTAGTTCAATTGCTTAGTGTTGTCCTGATATGCCAAGGATGCAGGTTTGATCCCAGTACATACAAGAATCAATCAATGAATGCATAAATATGTAGAACAGCAAATCAGTGTTTTCTCTCTCTTTCCTTTCCTCTTTCTAAAAATCAATCAATAAATAAAAATTTTTAAAAAGGAAAAAGAATAAAAACAAAAGAACAACAAAAATAAAAAAAATAAAGCACTGAATGAAACACACTTTAAACCAGAAGGCAATGAGGTCCAGTCCTCACCCAGATACCCCCAGTCTTGCATCCTTGCACAAAGCAAGGGAGCTAGGCAGCCTGGGAAGTGGTGAAGACCTGTGGGCACCCATCTGACACCCTCCTTCCAGGGCCATCAGCCCCATGCTGCGGGGCATCAGTGTGGTGAGCTCCCATCCCATCCCTGTGGTTGGAGCTTCCTTCAGGTTTCCGACCATGGGAGCGGAGAAGGGCAGGCAGAGAGATCCCAGGTTGAAGGCCTCAAGTGCAGGCAGGACCCCACATGAACAGGAAACACGTGTTCTCTCCAAGCACACATGGAGCAGTCAGAGGAACATGCTTGGGCCAGCCTTGAAGGGGTCATGGTGCAGTGCTCAGGACCCCCAGAACAACCAAAAAGCAACGGAACATGAAAGTAACCACAACACGCAGCTCAAAACTATCAGCCACTTGGAGATTCAGTAACGATTTACTAACTGGCACAATGTGTAGGATGCAGCTGAAGTAGCATACAAAGACAAAAATTTACATTTTTAAACATATTTACTAGAAATAAGGACAGAACACAAATGAGGTAAACAGTAAATTCAAGAAACTGGAAACAACACAGCAAACACAAACACAAAAGAAAAAAATAAAAACCGGGCAGAATTCAGTGAAATAGAGAACAAGGACCCCCACACACCACTCCCCAAAAATTGAGCAAAACCAAAACCTGGCTCTTTGAAAATATGAATAAACAGTCCTGGGGCAAAACCAATCAAGACACTGCCCAAAACTTACATAAGGGAACAGCTGCAAACATAACAGAGCTTAAAAATAAAGATGGAGAGCATTATGAATAAATACATGCCGAAAACGGAAAATACAAATGAATAGGTAAATTTGTACAAAAACCAGAAATGACAAAGGTGACAAAGGAGAAATTCACAAGATTGTTGGACCATCAAGCATGAAAGGAGGGCTTCCCCAGGGCCCAGGTGTTTTACAGGGACTTCTACCAAAAACTTGACAGGTTCAACTAACTCCATCGATATAAATTCCTCCAGAAGTTAAAAAAGATAGCAAAAAAGCTATTTTAGTTTGAATTCTATTTCTTTAAAGCTAACCTCTTAGCCCAGACAAGAAAGAGGTTGTATTACCTCCCAGAAGTCCACATACCCTGTGAGGATTAAACCCTGTGACGTGAGCAAATCTAGGAGCCTGCCTGGCTCACCATGACCCGTCCTAGCGTCAGGACCTGACCACAGGGCCTCCATATCCCCAGCTCTGAGAGGCCTGGCTAGGCAGGTGCTGATCTATGATGCAGGGGGAGGGGTCCCAAGGTACAGCCTCACCTAGTCCAGCCACACTGCTGTGGTTCTCCAGCATCACCTCCTTGTAGAGGGCCCTCTGGCCAGGGTCCAGACACATCCACTCCTCCCGTGAGAAGTGCACAGCCACATCACCAAATGTCACAGTCTCCTGAAAGGACACATACCAGGACCCCAGGGACCGCTGGGTGCCAGCCCCATTCTGGGGCCACCCCATTGTGTCTCAGAAATGTGGACCATAGGGCTGGGCGAGACAGTCACCAGGAGCCTTTGGCTCTACAATCAAGGGTAGGGGCAGTATGGAGAGAAGGGACCCAGACCATGGACCTACAACCCTCCACTCGAGAGCCTCAGGCAGGCCCGAGTCCTGGCAGGGGTGTGCTCACTACCTTGGGGATGGGCATGCCAGAGTCTGGCAAGGGCCACAGCGAGAGGCTGAAGCAGAGTCTAGGCCCAGGCACAATGGGCAGGGTGGGTACCCAGAGGAGGTGGCAGAACCCTCACAAGAAGAGTGAGGGAATGGAGGCAGTCAGACTCCTACCATGAGGCTTGGTGGATGAGTATCCATGTGTCCTGGCCGAGAGACCTGCTGACAGTTGTGAAAAGGTCAGAGGTCAGGATGCTGGAGGCCCCCCAACCCCTGATGTCCAGGGTAACCCAGGGGGCAGTGTTCTCTGATCCTTTACCTCCACTTCCAGATATTCTCTGGCTGGGACACAGGGGGAAACCAGGGCAGCCACAGTACTGGAGCATATGTCCCCCGAGGCTTCGTTCATCTTTCAGAGCGTGTGGTGGTTGTGAATCACTTAAGGGGTGGTTGCCGCTTGTGTCAGGTGCTCAACCAGGCAATGGGATGCAGCAGTGAGCAATGCACAAGGGCTTTGCCTTCACGAAGCACAGTCTAGTAGAGAAAAATTAAGTAACCGCCCAAATAAATGAAAATTAGAACTGTGATGGCACCAACATACATGGAACTACGAAAGCATTTAAAGTAGGATATCCTGCCCTAGCCGATTTGGCTCAGTGGACAGAGCGTTGGCCTAGGGACCTACGGGTCCTGGGTTCGATTCTGATTCATGTCAAGGACATGTACCTTGGTTGCAGGCTCCTCCCCAGCCCGGACCCTGGTCAGGGCTCATGCAGGAGGCAACTAATCGATGTGTCTCTCTGTCACTCTCTCTAAAAATCAATGGAAAAATATCCTCGGATGAGGATTAAAAAAATAAAATAAAGTAGGATACCGACTTAGTCTGATGGGTCACTTCCTGGCGGAGTTAACTAGGCCAAGGAGGTGAAGGTAGGGAAGGCGCTCCAGGCAACAGGCCCAGCATTTGCAAAGGGCCCCGGGCAGGAAGGATGGGCTGAAGGAGCCAGTGGGCTGGATCACAGGGAAGTAGTTGTGACTGGACATCAGAGCAGCGGGAGCCTGACAATGAATCGCGGGCAAAGAGGATTGAATACAGAACACCCCCCTCCCCCCATGTAATCTCGGCCTCTCCCCACGGCCCCTGGCAGGTCACAATGAGGAGGGGGTTTCCTAGTGGAGCTTTGGGTCAGAAGCGGCTTGTGGGTGAATTCCCCAGGCCGAGTGCACGCAGGACTGACTGGGCAGAAGTGACCGCTGCCGGGCAGCGCTGGACCCTCATCCCCAGTAGAGAGGGCGGCCCTGAGAGGCAGCCGGCATTCAGAGAAGACTAACTTCCTACCCGCGCCAGGCACAGCCCTTCCAGACACTGTGACTAAGGCTAGGTCTCCCCGGGGCCACGAGGGGGAAAGAAGGCCCTCGGAGAAAGGAAGGAGAACCAGGCTCCCTCTGGAGCGGGCTGGCGGGAAGGCCGCGCTGGAGCCTGCGGCACTCGGCCCAACACCTCCCGCCTCCGCGGGCGAGGCGGCCGCGGTCCCACCACCTTCCCTGCAGCCGCTCACGGCCTCTCCGAGGGCCGCGCCGCCGAGAGGCTGGGGCGCGCGGGGCCCGCAGTGCTGGAGGCGGGCGGCCGCTAGTCCGCGCGGGCGCTCCTGCGGAGGGCGCGGTCGCCGCCTCAACTCACCCTCCCGGAGGACCGCCGGGGGCTCCTAACGTGGACGCCGCCGGAAACAGGCCTCGAAACCCGCGCCCGCCGTTCCATTGATTTCCGGCCCTTCTGGGCGGCTATGCAGCTGGGCCCTCTCGGTGGTCTCGGCCCTGCCCCCGGAGCGCCGGAGAAGGGGAGGGGCCAGACCGCGGGGAAAGCGCAAAGCCCTGGGGAGGGGCGGGGCCTCAGCCTGGGGGCGGGGCTAAGACCATGGAGGGCGGGGTCAGGGCCCACGGACAGGGCGGGGCCAAAGTTGAGGTAGGTCGGGGTCCAGCGAAGGGAAAGAAATTCTCTTATACTCAGTCTGGTTTAAGGAGAATAAAACTGAGAATATATATTTTTCTTTATTGATTTGAAAGAGAAAGAAACATCGATTTGTTGTTGCACTTAGTTATGCATTTATTAGTTGAATCTTGTACGTGCCCTACCCGGGATGGAACCCGAAACCTTGGCTTACAGGGCCTCCTTAGCTACCCAACCCCCAAAAAAACTGACTTAGAAAAAAACAAACACTGATCCTGCCCTCACGCCCTCCCTGCCCTGCTGGCTGTCCCTCCACAGGTCCAGGACTCCAGGAAGCCTCATCTTCACAGCTAAGACCCTCCCACCCCCACCCCTAGCTACTCCCTTTCCCGATTCAAATCCCACTCACCTGTCCCCTCAGGTTCTGGGTAAGGTCGTCATGTTCCCTCGCCCACTCCCTCCTTCGTCCTGGCCATGGAACCCCAGCTCTGGTCTCCCCATTTACTGGCTGGCTGCCCCTCTTCCTCCGCAGAAGTCGGACGTTTGCTCTGTCTTCTAGACCCCGGTCTTCTCACTGTAAACCACGCTCCCCGAATCTACCCACCCGTTTCCTTAAAGGGGACCTCGCCAGGCCAAGTCGGGAGCCCCCGACACCGCGCCCGGTGTGAGTCAGTCTGTGCGGGGCAGCGTGACCCTGAATAAACCTCCCAACCCCTCATGGCCCCCCTCCCCCGATCGCTCAGTGGGCGACGCCTGCCCTCCGAGAGTCCTCCTTGAGGATGGGGTGCCCCTCTATCCTTCTCCCGCACTGGACGACCTGGTGGCCGGAGAGCTGCCTGCAGGAACGGTAACTCCAGTGCGCCTGTGCAGAGGCCCGGGCGGCGGGGTCGGACTACATGTCCCAGTGTGCATTTTGCTTGCGGCCGCGGCGCCTGCCCGGAAGTTAAAGTGGCTTTCGGCCCCGCCCCGGAAGATAAGGCCGCTCTCGGGCGCCCGGGAGCCTCTTTCCCCCGCGCTAGGCAGAAGGTAAGTTGTGTTTTTGCCCCGGCGGCTCTGCTGATATCCGCCGCCATCCGCCGTTCTCCCGCTCCCTGAGGCCCGCGAAGGACCTAGGCTGGCTTCTGAGATGACTCCCGGGTGCACGGCTGGGGGTGGTGGCACGAAGGGGGGCCAGGAATTGGGGAATGGGTCCTGGAGAAAAGGATCCCTAAAGCCGGGTGGCGGGCGTGCCTGCCCCCCCCCCTCCCGGCGCTGACTATGAGGTTCCCCCAGACTGCCGTCATGGGCCGCGTGATTCGTGGGCAGAGGAAAGGCGCCGGCTCCGTGTTCCGCGCGCACGTGAAACACCGCAAGGGCGCCGCGCGTCTTCGCGCCGTGGACTTCGCGGAGCGACACGGCTACATCAAGGGCATCGTGAAGGTGCAGGGCGCAGGCCGGGGCGGGTGCGGGCACGGGGTGTTCCGCCCGAACCCCACGCTCACGCCGCCTCGGCCCGCAGGATATCATCCATGACCCAGGCCGCGGCGCGCCTCTGGCCAAGGTGGTCTTCCGGGATCCGTACCGTTTTAAGAAGCGGACGGAGCTGTTCATTGCTGCCGAAGGCATCCACACCGGCCAGTTCGTGTACTGCGGCAAGAAGGGTAAGCGTCATGCTTCGATGGGAGGACGGAGTCCCATGAGGGAGGTGCACCTCCTAGGTCGGTAGGGGAGGCATCCAGGAAGAAGCCTCACAGGGTGATCCCTGCTGGCCGAACATAACCTGTGCACTGGCTATTTTGGGGTGTTGTGAGGAGGGAGTGGATTTGCGTTGCCTCTGGCCAGCAGTCGGACACTATCTGGCCCGTCGGCGTGGCTCCGGTTGAGTCCAGGTCACCGTTTGGTTTCTGGTTGGGGCACTTGCTGGGTTGTAGTCTCATCCCTAGTGGGGGGAGGCTGCTGATGAATGATTCTCATTGATGTTTTTCTCCCTTCCTCCCTGAAATCAGTAAAGTGTTTTTGTGTTTTTTTTAATACCATCTCCATTCTGACTGTTCCTGGTGGCTCTCCCTTGCAGCTCAGCTGAACATTGGCAATGTGCTCCCGGTGGGCACCATGCCTGAGGGCACCATCGTGTGCTGCCTGGAGGAGAAGCCTGGTGATCGGGGCAAGTTGGCCCGGGCCTCTGGGAATTATGCCACGGTCATCTCCCACAACCCTGAGACCAAAAAGACGCGAGTGAAGCTGCCCTCGGGCTCCAAGAAGGTCATTTCCTCTGCCAACAGAGCTGTGGTCGGTGAGTGGCAGGCAACAGTTGAATGCTTTGGGTCGCTTGTGAGCAGCTAGCAAGCGGGTAAACCTGGGCCCTGGAACCTCACTTTCCACTCCAATAAAATGTGGGCTCTGTACGCTTGAGTAGATGCATAGTTTTTCAGTCGTAATATTTGAAAAGTGGGCACAGCGGTACCTACTTCATTCTAGGGTGGTAGTTGAAGGAGACCAGGTTTAATCTACTGGACTTGTCTGCGTTCTCACACAACCTGGATTTGCTTGGTTCCTGCCCTTACCTTCACTTGCTAATAAACTTTTCAGAGATGTCTGATTTCTTTGAAATTACCCAGTATGTGCATTAAAAAGGATCTGTACCCAGGTTTGTTCACTTTGCTGTTTGACAACGCTTTCAAGTCCTGTGGCAAAGCTGGCCAAGATATGGCATGGTGACTCAGCCATCACATTTTGGGATTCAAAGGTTGAGTGACCTGCCCATGTCAGGCATGGTGCAGGGAGGGCTTCCCTGGAGAACCCTGGATTGAGATAGGCATTCCAGTTGACATGGTATGGGTAAATGTGTGGCTTGTTATCCCATGGAACCTGAAGAAACTTGCTGTCAGTTACAGGCTGCAAGGGGGCTTACTGCTGGGTGGTATTTGCCAAGTGTTACTGGCACTTCTGCGAATTTTGTGATGCTGTATGACAGTACAGAGAGAAGGTGATTAGTGCAGGCGGTGGGGTGCTGAGAAGGACCCAGCAGGGGATATTCTGTCTGATGGGAGAATGTGATGCACTTTTCTGAATTGCCTAATATCCTCAACAGGTGTGGTGGCTGGAGGTGGCCGCATTGACAAGCCCATCCTGAAGGCTGGGCGTGCCTACCACAAATATAAAGCAAAGAGAAATTGCTGGCCACGTGTGCGGGGTGTGGCCATGAACGTAAGTAGCCCAGTAGTAGGCAGTGGGGAGTATTCAGGATACAGGGCCTGAGGCTGGATGGGCAGGTCCTTTGGAACCCCCTCAGGTGGGGGATTTGGGTGACGATTCATAGGTATAGGCCTCTTGATCCAGGCCTTCCGTTAAATTGGGACCACCCCCACATTAACACTACCTCCCTTTGTCTGCAGCCTGTAGAGCATCCATTTGGAGGTGGCAACCACCAGCACATCGGCAAACCCTCCACCATCCGCAGAGATGCCCCTGCTGGCCGAAAAGTGGGTCTCATTGCCGCTCGCCGGACTGGGCGTCTGCGGGGAACTAAGACTGTACAGGAGAAGGAGAACTAGGGCAGGGGGCTCAATAAAGTCTGTTTTCCTGCACTAAGCTGTTCTGCCTGTAGTTTCAGAGGGAAGTGTTCTGCTGGGAGGACCACTGAGCAGAGGCAGCTCAAGTGGAGGTGGGGGTGCTTGATCCAATCACACCTTCCTTCCTGGAATCCCACCAGCATCACACACATGGACCTATGTGCTGAGCACTGGGAGAAAGTAGGTGTGGATGTCAACCCACAGCTAGAACTCTCCTGTGATGACGGAGTTTCTTAGAACAAATGAACTTCCTGATTGGCCACAGCTAATGACACCTTTTCCCACATTGTCTGACAGTTCTGTCAAAGGTGGCTGAAGCAGGGCAGAGGCTGCTAAGCAGGCATCAAAGTGAGACCCTAACCCATCAGCCATTAGAACTAGGACACCCAAGAATCTTGCTCACAGTGTTCCCTTGTGAGCCAGTGAAAAGTGCAGCAGGGCACTAACCAGACAGGCGCACTGGCTGGCACTCCATGATGACCACCTACCTGAGCTCTGGTCACCTCAGCGGTTCTGTGGGCTGCAGGGACCGAATGGAAGATAAGGCCTTCCTGTGACTGCCAGGTGGCTCCTTGCTCTCTGATCAGACCCATCTTTAGTGTTGACCTTGCCCCCAGTTGTAAGCCTTGCCTTCCCTGGCCCAACCTGCCCTTGGCCTTGGGCAGTCACCCAGCAGGGCTAGCATTCTCTTGTTCAGAGAAACACCTGAAGGGAGGAGCATGAGTCTTGGTTGCCTAGACAGTTAAGTGACCTGCTACAGCATTACTGCTCCTTCTGATAAAGTTACCAGGGGCCTTGGCCAAGAGACTGGCTATCAAGAAGGGATGCTGCAGAAGCTGTCTGGTGCTGGGGGAAGTCCTTTGTCTAGTTAGAGTGGACACGGCCCATTTAGAGGGGTTGACCTTGACCCATAAGCATCCTCTTGAACTTCCTGGGTGATCTCATCGTCCCAGTGACCGGTACGGTTCTCTGCCTTCTGTAAAAGAAAGGTCTGGTCTTTGCTTGGTTGTAGCACCTTTAGCAGCTCACT